AAAGTTTTTTTTTTTTTTTTTTTTTTTTTTTTTTTTTTTTTTTTATAGATGACCGGTAAGGGGATCTTAACCCTTGACTTGGTGTTGTCAGCACCACGCTCAGCCAGTGAGCAAACCGGCCATCCCTATGTGGGATCCGAACCTGGGACCTTGGTGTTATCAGCACCGCACTCTCCCGAGTGAGCCACGGGCCGGCCCAGGATCAAGTATTTTTAATGTAACTGGTTTTTAAGTTTTGGCCTGACATTACCTTGAGAGAAGATAAATGCCAAGTAAACCGAAAGCCTTATTCAGACTGCCAGTTTCCATCCTCCTATGAGGGAGGCTGTTTTCTCATGAACTTGCAATTGTTGGAGATTTGAAATGTATCATTCTTGAGAGCCTGTTTCTTAGATGGGCTCTTAAACAAATTCTAGAATTTCAAAAAAGAAATACTGTTTCATACAGAGACTAAGGAATGGCTCTGAAAATATGTCAGGAAATATTTTTTAAATTTTTAGAAGTTTTTTTTTTAAAGTTACAAAATTAAATGTTACCAAATTGTGTCATCTAACAGATATCAATGTTAACTAACGTTGCTAAAAATTTATTCACCTTTTTAATTTGCCTTCTTAATTAGTTTTATTATCATTTCATCTTTGGTTAAATTCCTGAGGTCAGTATCACCTAGAACACAATTTTTTAATTTTAGAAGGGAAATGAAGAAACTTAAAGGAACACAAAATTAATTGGAGCAAAGAGGCAGCAGTAATGGGCTTAGTGGCACTGAATGCAGACAAAGGATGGGTTATAACTCATTGAGGAAAAGCACAAACATGCCTCTCTCACTCAACATGGCTGTTGTCATGAGAATCACATTCTTTCTGTTGGTCTTCCCTGACAGGTGTAGAGTTTGGAGCCCGTATGGTCAACATTGATGGAAAACAAATCAAACTGCAAATCTGGGATACGGTGAGAGAGGGCAAAATAATTTAGTCCCTGACTAAGATCCAAATATAACAAAAGTTGATGCAGGGGGAAAGGGCTACAATGGTGGGGCTCATGGTGGAGATGTAGTAGGGGAAGAGTGGGAACAAAGAGATGGGGAAGTTTTCGATTCCATCTGTTGTTACGTTTATAAATTTTGAATGCCACATCTTTTATATTTGTTTTAAATGACCTAAGTAATGTGTTTATTCTAGTAAAAATAAATTCGAACAATGTAAATTTATAGAGTAAAAAGTAAAAGTGTCCTTTACAAACATAAACCCCTTCTCCCTCCCAGTCTTGGTTGCTACTCTACCAGGGGAATCCACTATTGATGATTCAATGTGTATGCTTTCAGACTTTTATTATGCATTTAGTTACATAAATATAAACATCTACAAATACATGGTAGTGGTTTTATTTTTATTATTGTTTACATGTATAGAATCATGACAAAGTAGACCTAGCTGTGTGACTTAGATTTTTATTTAACAATGTCTACATTTTGGAGACCTTTCCATATCACTACATATAGATCTATGTCATTCCTTTTAATCACTGCATAGTCATAGAATGTCTGTACCATAATTTATTTAACTATCCTCTCATTCATGGAAATTTGGATTGTTTCCAATTTTCCACTATTGCAAAGCTTCAGTAAATATTCTTAATTACTTCCTCTTTATGCAGATGTTTGAGAATTTCTGTGGAATACCTGCTCAGAAATGGTAATTTTGGGTCAAAGTTTATGCATATTTTAAAATTTGATAAATGTAATACTGCCAAAATTTAGCTTGGCTTAGTGTGATTTTGCTTCATCCAGATAAATTGCTTTCACGTGCATTATCTCATTTGATTTTTTACCTTTCTTTCCCTTAAAGAAAGTAATAACTAAGTCTCTATTCTAGTTAAAGGGAGCTAGCAAATAGTTCCTAATATTCAGTTAAAATCTTTTCCTTAAAGTTTTTATTTACTTCTTACTATTTGATTCTGTTTCTTCTCAGAATTGAGAGCTGAAGCCATTGTATCTACAAGCAGTGCACAAGTTATTTTTTCTTTTCTCCACTTCCTCTCCTTTTTTCTCCCTCTCCCACCTCTCCCCCTCTATGATGCACAGGTGTATGTTTTAAAAGTACTTACTTGCTGCTGTGGGGCCTTTTTGGACAATCCTTTTCTGGTGGCCTCCAAAGTTGTTACCATACTTTTGGATGCACTGATTAATCAGGTGCTTTTAGCTAGGATGATGTTCTCCTGTACATTTGTTGGTGTATTTTTAAGCATTTTAATAACCTTTTGTCTTTATGATTATATTTTTTATTTTACCACATTGGGTTGCCCTAATTATAGGAATATGAAACACTCCACATCTAGTGATACCTCCAAACTTCCAGACTTGCTTCATTTGGCCAGGTTTTGTTTTCAGTCTTTTTTTTTTTTTTTTTTTTTTTGGCTGATCGTTATGGGAATCCAAACCCTTGACATTACGTTGGTGTTATAACACTGCACTCTAATCAACTGAGCTAACTATAACTAGCCCCTATTTTCAGCCTTTTCCCCCCAGAAAACCTAAGAAGTATTACTCTCTATCTGTTGCCATGGTTAAGTCTGTATATATTTTAAACAGATGCCACTTATTCCCTTCTTCTTTCATTGTTGAGGCCCAGGGCTTCTTTGTCACTATTAACCCAAATAGGTATCACAGCTCATCTTTTATTATCCCCTGACATTTATATTTCCCTTTTTTTTTAGTTTTTTTTTTTTTTTTTTTTTTTTTTGTGGCTGATCGTTATGGGAATCCAAACCCTTGACATTACGTTGGTGTTATAACACTGCACTCTAATCAACTGAGCTAACTATAACTAGCCCCTATTTTCAGCCTTTTCCCCCCAGAAAACCTAAGAAGTATTACTCTCTATCTGTTGCCATGGTTAAGTCTGTATATATTTTAAACAGATGCCACTTATTCCCTTCTTCTTTCATTGTTGAGGCCCAGGGCTTCTTTGTCACTATTAACCCAAATAGGTATCACAGCTCATCTTTTATTATCCCCTGACATTTATATTTCCCGTAAAGGGAGACTTAGCCCTCCAAAGAGGTCACAGTATAAATTCTGAGGAGGTGACAAAAAGTGAAGCAGGTGTCAAGACTAGTATAAGTTAGATTCTGCTTCTTTAACTTAAATCTCTACCATTTCCAAAAATGAATTTTTGATGTCAGGAGAAAAACCCAATAGGTGCCAGTTAGTGGTGTCATGGCCATGTGTTGCCTTGCTCTTTTTTCCTGAGTGCTAATGTGAGATATGGTTGGATCAAGAAGTAAGAAAGTTGAGAGTCACTACTGTGTATGAAGGATCCTTAAGGACTACATGGCCATCCAACTAGCCTAGTTCTTTTCTGCTCTTTTAAAAATTGTTTTGAGATTAATCGTTGCTGAATTATAAAAGGAAACATGTTTCAGAATATGGTGGTTTTCTATTTATTTTGAAAATTATATGAGATTTATACCTGTAATGTATTGACTGTCTTGTCTGTCACTTTCTGGGTAAGCCTGATCATTTCTCCCTTGTCATCCCTGATCTCTTGTCCATTGCTTACCCACCTTGGCTTCCCACTTTATTGGCCTGTTCCCTCACTTACTCCCAAAGCAATCCTAACATGTTTAGAGATTATCACGATGAGTATTTTAAAGAGATCAGGTTGTCCAAAGTTTTTTGTTGTCACTGTTCTGGTATTGATAAGGATTTAGAGAACTATGTTTATATATATATATTCGTTCATTCCCAAATAACCATGCTAATGAGGCATTGTACTGTAGCAAATATAAAATATTGATTAAATAATCCCAAATTAATCCAAATTAATTTGTATTTTACTTTGGAAGGCATTTCAATTCTTAGGAAAGGAGTATATCTGACTTTCTAGGACTTGGTACTTCAAACTATATATCTCGGAAGTATAATATGTTGCTTCCACTTGGGAGAAATTAGAAAGCTGTTAATTCTCTTTATCAAACCTCCATATTATTCTTTGCTGCTTGAGATTTTTTTACTGAGGATGCACAAGGATACCTGAGACGGATGCAGACAAGCCCAAGTTGAACTGCTCACTCTAACTTACTGTCTCACAAACTTTAGTTCATGAACTTGACTGAGATGAAGCAGAGTGATTTGATTTTAAAAGGTTTTCTGATGCCCTGCTGGAAGTATTTTCAGCTGCTAAAGTTAAATGCTGCCATGTGATTCAACTATCACCTGGGCCTCCCTCAAACTTTCCCTTTTAGTTCCTGGTAGGCCACAGGGGAAGTGGACGGAGGCTTTCAACAATAGCAGAAGAGGAGAAAAAGCAAGAGATAAAAGCAAAACAGGACCCAAATAATATAAGACATGGAGCTATTAGGGAATAAATATAAAACTTTAAATGAGCTTTTGGAGGGAAAAAGTATTTTTTAAGTCTTAAAGTATTACCAACAAAGGACTTTAGAATTATTTTTATTTTTGGATTTTGATGTTCTAACAATTATGCAAATCACTAAAATGTACAATTCTTGTAGAAAGAGATTCTTGTGTTTTTGGAAAAGTAACCTTACCAGCTGGCTGGTTAGCTCAGTTGGTTAGAGCGTAGTTTCATAACACCAAGGTCAAGGGTTTGGATCCCTGTACAGCCTAGCTGACAAAAAAAAAAAAAAAAGTAGCCTTAGAGTTAATGTACTGCAACTCTCTTCCCACATGCAAACCCCGATTTACGTCATGTGATATATTGACTAAGAGAACAAACTTTTTGTGTTAGGAAGAACTAAGATCCTAAGTTTAAATTGTGGCTCCAGCACTTATAAGCTTTATGACTTTTTGCCAATTACTAAACTTGACCCTTTCAGCCTCATTTCTCACTTTTTTTTTTTCTTTTTTTGGCAGCTGGCCGGTAGGGGGATCTGAACCCTTGACCTTGGTGTTACAAGGCTCATGTTCCGCATTTTTAAAAGGGAAAAGAGTCCTGCCTCAGGACTACTTAAAGAATTAAATGAGATAACAAATATAACTATTTCTTATAGTTTCTGATATTGTGTATGCCAAAAAATAGTGAATAATATCTTAGTATTATCATTAGTATCATCACTGTTGTTTGTATTATACCATGAGAAAGCCATTTATCTTTCCATGTCCTCATGTTAGTTCTCTCATCTGTAAAATATGAACAGTAGTCTTACTTCTTAACTTTTTTATAAGGATATGAGGATAAATGATTTCAAGAATGTGAAAACTTTCCTAATAGGATGGATCCAATGCACAGGGTATTCATATTATTTAAAAAACACCTTTGCTTCCCCTAAAGAAAAAAAGAACTATTCCATCAAGAAAACCAAACTACCCAGTTTATGGGGGCATTAATAAATTGCTCAGTTATAAAACTTAATATTTTGGCCCAACTGGAAATGAGTTAGAGTGTGAATGGTTGGATTTTTTTTTTTTTTTTTTTTAAGGAAACCTCTGTCCTGAGCCTTGGGCTTCTTTCCCTGTTCCTTATTCCTGTTTTCTATGACAGGATCCCAGCAAGGGACGTCTATCAGTGGAACACTAAAGGTCAATTAGCAGATGCTCAATTTAAGTACTTTGCACCTAATTTTCTATATTGAACCATTGTAATGAAACCTCTATTAGACAGGTATTGGCATTCTAAGATAATTTTTCTTTTTACAGATAAAAGAACAGAAAGATTAATGTGATGTGTTTAACATTATATTTGGGATTGAAAATACAACATACCCTGAGTTTCCAGTCCTATTTCCAGTTATTTTCTTCTAGGGGATATTGGGAAATGTATGGGAATGTCTTTGATTGTCATGCTGATTATGGGGTGCCATTGGTGTTTAGTGACTGGGAGCCAGGGATGCTAAATATCTGGCAATTTGATGGACAGTCTTACAGGAAGAGAAATTGACCTGCCCAAAATATCAGTTGCACTCCCATTGAAAAATACTGATTTCTCACCTGAGCTTTTTCCTGAGCAGGCATGTTTTCTTTTCCTAATTCTCTTTTCTTAAAAGAAGTTTTTTTTTTTTTTAGTTAAGTCCTTTGCATTAGGGTAGCATGTGATCAAGTCAGTTCTCTGGAAATAACCTAGTTTTGTTGGGATTTTTTGTTGCCATGTTGGTGGGAAAGGCTGGGCAAGAATCCTTCCGTTCTATCACCCGTTCCTACTACAGGGGAGCAGCTGGTGCATTGCTGGTGTACGACATTACAAGGTGAGCCAGATCTGGTGTGTGGGAGGGAGACTGTTCTGTGTGCTCTCTAAAGTTTTCTATCTACTGATTCTGTTAAGGATGCTAACTAGGAATGGCCTCGCTAATGTTTTTTTTTTTATATATATACATATAGCTTTCCCCTTTTCCTATATATTTGGAGTTGCTTTGGCCTTTTGATATGGGCCTCTGAACCACTTTCTAAATTTTTCTGCTATAGGCGTGAAACCTTCAACCACCTGACTTCATGGTTAGAGGATGCCCGGCAGCACTCCAGCTCCAACATGGTTATCATGCTGATAGGGAATAAGAGGTAAAATTTTATCAGTGTGATTAATAGTTATCAGAAGTCATCTAGGTACTCTGCGGACATTTGACTTGCTTTTTTTTTTTTTTTTTTTTTTTTCCCTAATACTGCAAGCATATGGATGGCATCGAATTTCTTGGTCCCCAAACTTTCTCAGATGCTTTTAGTGCTTTAGTAAAAAAAAAAAAAAAAAAAAAATTTATTGTGGTAAAATATACATACCATGAAATTTACCATTTTAACTCTTTTTATGTGTACAGTTCTGTGGCATTAAATATATTCATATTGTTCTGCAACCACCCCCGCATCTATCTCCAGAGCTTTTCATCTTCTCAAACAAACTCTGTACACATTCACCATTAACTCCCCATCTCCCTTGCCCACCCTCACCTCTGGCAACCACCATCTACTTTCTTTCTTTATGAATTTGACTACTCTAGTTACCTCAAATAAGTGGTATCATATGATACTTGAGATTTTGTGACTGGCTTATTTCACTTAGCATAATGTCTTTAAAGTTTATCCATATTGTAGCATGTGTCAGAATTTCCTTCCTTTTTGAATATGAATAATATGCCACTGTATGTGTGTACCACATTTTGTTTATCCATCTGTCCATGGACACTTGGGTTACTGCCATCTTTTGGCTACTGTGAATAATGTTGTTGTGAATATGGGTGTATAAAGATCTGTTCAAGTCCCTGCTTTGAATTCTTAGGGGTATATACTCAGAAGTGGGGTTGCTGGGTCTTATGTTAACTCTATGTTTAATTTTTTGAGAAACCACCATACCATTTTCCATAGTGGCCACACCACTTTACATTCCTACCAGCAATGCACAAAGGTTTCAATTACATCTTCGCTCACACTTGTTATTCTCAGTAAATTTTTCTTGCCACCCATAGGCCAAAAGAAATATTTAACAGTTTTATTTTTAAATAGTTAGATAAAAACAACATAACTATTTTTTGTAACGAGTTAGTAACTGAAAAATGAAACATAAATTAAAAGGAAAAAATAATCTTTTTATTTCATTCTTAAATGGCCATAGATACTGATGACCTGCGTGTGTCTGTTGGACACTGCACAGCTTCTCAAGCCTTGAAATCAAGATTGGACATTCTCATTTCCTGCTCCATATTGATTTTTTTGTAATACTTGCGTTTTATCACAGCAGCTGCCAAATACTCAGCTTCACAAAGATATGAACTTTTTTTTTTGGTGGCTGGCTGGTATGGTGATGGACCCTTTAACCTTGTTTTTATAACACCATGCTCCAACTAAAGGATATGAAGATATTGAACAGACTCTATTGTGATCTGATGTTGACACTGTGAACTATCTTAAGTTTGTAATTCATGTGATGTTCTGATGTTGAGTGTTGCTGTGTGTTTCTCTCAAAAATGTAAAGTATCCTGTGGCACCCTTGTGAGTTTGTAGCAGTGCCCAGAGTGCACCATTTGAGGACTGTAACCACAGGCTAATTGTTGGTTTAATCAATTTATTGAAAACCTACTATGTGTTAGACACTGTGCCAGAATTTGAGTTTGCAAAGTGAAAAAAATTTCATGAACTTACAGTCTAGTGGGGCACAAATGTTAAATATAAAATGATTTGTATCTAATTACAAATTAGGACAAATTCAGTGAAGAAAAAAAGGGTGCTATGAAAGAGAGTAACAGTACATATTTTGATTAGGATTGATATTATACTGGGATCTGAAGGACTGGCAAGAGCTTGCTGGGCGAAGATTTAAAGAAAAGGGTATCACATAGGAGGAAAAACTGTATGAAAGCCTTGAACTGGGAGGAAGGTTGGCAAGTTTATGGTACTGAAAGAAACCCAGCATGGTTGGATTGAATCAAAAGGGAATAGTGCAAGATGAGGTTGGGAAAGTAGTCATGGCCAGATCACATAGCACCTCGTAGACCTGAGTAAGGAGTTTGGATTTTATTCTAAACACAAGGGAAACATTTAAAAATTTTAAGCAGAAAAGTGGCTTGATTAGATTTTTAAAAATCACTTTGGAGGGGAGCAAGGGTTGAAGTAAGATTCCAGTGTCAGTAGTCCAAGTGAGAGAGAACAGTCACTTAGACTAGGGCAAGGACCCTGGAGAGAAAAAGAAAAGGGTGATTTTAAGGTACATTTTGGAAGTACTTTACTTTGGGATGGATTGGGTATTTTGAGTTAGGGAGGAGTCAATAATGACACCTTGGGTTTTGGCTTGTGCTGTTTACTGAGACGTGGGAATCTGGGGCAGATATAGATTGAGGGGAAAAGAAGTTCCAGTTTGATGTGTTAAGTTTGAGGTGCCTTTTACACATCACTGTAGAAATGGAGGATACACAAATGAACAAATGAATCTGGAGCTTAAAGGAGCATCTAGAGGTACAAATTTAGGAATGTTGGGATTTAGATGGATAGTTCCTCCCTGGTCTTCACACAGCTGATGTATAATTAATAGAAATTTTGTAGATTTGTTGTTCTTTAATGGACTTACTCCTTGATTTTTTTCTTTCTTTCTTTTTTTTTTTTTTTCCTTTTTGACTTTTTTCGTGACCGGCAACGGATTGCAACCCTCAGTGTTGCGCCCGTACCGGACCGGGACCGGCCACGGGATCGCAACCCTCGGTGTTGCTCCCGCACCTCGCTCAGCCAGTGAGCAGCCAGTCTGCATGTGGGATCCGAACCCTCGGCGGGAGCGCCACCGCGCTTCCCAAGCGGCGCACTGTAGCAGTGCGCCACCGGGCCGGCCCACTCCTTGATTTTTTTCATGGTTGAAAAACTGGAAACTTTTCAAATGAAAATTTCCAGTTTGAAAAATAAAAATCAAACAGTCCAACCTTACTTTATTCTTCAGCCTTTTATCCTATCTTTCTTAAAGTGTTTTCATGCCACTTTATTCCCTTTCTAAGTCCTTAGCTATATCTCTTTTTTCCCTCATATCATCTAATTTTATCCATATCACTTTCTCTCAATTCCCCAGTGCCAAGCCACTTTTATACACACTAGTAATGAGACTAGTGAGAGTTCAGGCTACTGTGTTCCCCTTATTCCTGGCTTTTCCTCCTCGTGTGAATTGATTCCAATAGAAGAGGAAGATGCTCATCACTACAGGATGGGACATCCTATGACTTTGCTACTTTCTAGCAATCAGAATTTCTTTTTTGTCATCTCTACTTTGCTATCCTGAATCTCATTTGAAAAAGAAGCATTGGGCATAAGCTTTGAGTAACTATGGGGCTTACCCAACCCTTTGTAAGTCTTTTTTCCTGTAATAAAGTGTTATCTTCTACCATACAGCAGCTTTTCTGAATCTACAATAGTTGGGATGGAAACTACCACAGGCCTTTCTTAGTCATTTCCGCAGGAATCATTGCTAGAGAGGAAATGGCTGGGCAGAGACTCATGTGCATTTCAATGTTTCGTCTATACTGCCAGAATGTCCTCTAGAGAAGTCGTACCGTTTACACTGCACACATAGCACAATGTTGATAAGAGAAGCTGAGTGTAGTGGGGTGAAGTGGCATTTTAACAGTTCTAATAGTTTAGTGAAAGAAAGCAGATCTTTTTTTTTTTTTTTTAAAAAAGATGACCGGTAAGGGGATCTCTACCCTTGACTTGGTGTTGTCAGCACCACGCTCAGCCAGCGAGCAAACCGGCCATCCCTATATAGGATCCGAACCCGTGGCCTTGGTGTTATCAGCACCGCACTCTACCGAGTGAGCCACGGGCCGGCCTGAATCTACAATATTTTCCAAGAGGCTGAAGAAATCAGTAACTCTATATAAGAAAGTATCGTGTAAGATCTATATTCTTTATGGATTTACTGGTAGTTGAATCCACTATAGGATTCTTTTAGAACTAGAGTTACCTTTTTCACTTGGATTTTTTTTTAGTTTTCTCCCCAATTAATCTCTTGCAGTGACCTAGAGTCCCGCAGAGATGTTAAGCGAGAAGAAGGAGAAGCCTTTGCTCGGGAGCATGGACTTATATTTATGGAAACATCAGCCAAAACAGCCTGCAATGTTGAAGAGGTACTATTTGGGGAAAAAATGGGGAAACCTCTTCAAAGATTACACCATTGTCTTTGTCCTATTATTTATTCACAATTCTCTTCTCCTATAAGACATGGGTAAAGAAAGATTGTCTAGTGGTCATAGTGACTACATATTTCCTTTTAAGAGAATTGTCCCATTTTTCTTTTATCCTGATTCCTAAGGTTTTACTTTTGCTGTAGGTAACATTAATTGGTAAAGTGTGGATTAGACACCATTGTTACTTGTAAATCACATTAGTTGGAGAGTCTAATGGGTTCTACTATAGTCATTCCTAGGCCTGCTGTTGACCCTATCTTCAGTAACTAATGGAGAAGACAGTAGGTTTGTTTTATTTGTAGAAGGTTCCAACCAAGGAATCCTAGGAATATCTTGATCTTGGGTCAGTACAAGAATACCATATAATCTGTTTTTTCTTTTTGAAACTATTCTAAATGGCTTTTACGGGGACATTTTGGGGGACCTTCTATATTTTTACTCTTCTAATGGTTCCTAATTCACCTTAGAAATCCAAATAGAAAAAATATTTGCACTTTTTTCCCTTCATTTCTCTACCTAAACTTAAGACTGATAATATGATTTATGTCTCCTTCAGGCCTTTATTAACACAGCCAAAGAAATATATAGGAAGATCCAGCAGGGTTTATTTGATGTCCACAATGAGGTGAGCAAGACTGGGAAGCTGGCAATTAACTTTGCTTTGTCCTGAACAGGACTGGAGATCCCTAGAATGTAAGCATTACCCATCTGAAGTTGTACTATTTGTATTTCTGCCAATTCAGACCTTTTTTTTTTATGAAGGTATACAGAAACCTGTCATTATTTTCTATTTTTCGTCAAGTCTGAGACCAGAAAGAGATTATTAGTTGGTGATCTAAAAGGCATATAATAGAGGAGATTTTCTTCTTAACCTCAGTTTCTTACTATAACAAAACACTTTAAAAATGGGCACAAAAGCTACTTTTAGGTAACTGATATACGAGTTATACCACAGCTAGTCATTTTATTCTTGTCATAGATTATTGTTCCACAACAGTCTAGCTAGGGCACATGGTTACCTGCCAAGATCATGCCTGCTTTCAGAAAATGTAATTAATGGTTTCTCCTTTATCCCCCTCACATTAGCAGTGAGATGGGAACTATTACTCCTTTTCTTTTACAGGCAAATGGCATCAAGATTGGGCCCCAACAGTCAATTTCAACACCAGTGGGATCCAGCACCTCCCAGCGGAACTCGCGTGACATAGGGTCCAATTCTGGCTGCTGCTGAACATCTGGCCTGAACTTTTTTTCTTCCTGGAACAGCTTCAGATCAATAGGCTTAAAGAAAGAAGTCTTACTTGTTTTGGGCTTCCTTGAGGAAGCTTTCAGTGGCTGACCTAGGGACTTCTAAGCAATTATTGACAAAGTACCCCTTAGCTTTCATGTATGATGGTTATTTGTATGTATATTCATATGTATATTTATTTGTATGTATGTTACTTTGTAAATATGTTTTGTAGTTGTTTTATTTGTGGAATCTGTCTTCCCATATAGGTTGTAAGCTCCTTGAGAGGAGGATCCATGCCATCCTTCTATTTTTATAGACAACTTTCCTCATCACTCCTTCACAGTGCCTAGTGCTGTTCATTATATGATCATTGAATTTGACATACTTAAAAACTTAGGGTTTATTTTAGACTTTAGAGGAAACAGAAGGCCTTAGAGCCATCTCCTTGTAATTCCTTTTTCTTTATTAAATGTGCTGTCTTAGTGATTTCCCTTTTTTGGGTGGCTGGTCAGTATATGGATCAAACCATGGACCCTGGTGTTATCAGCACCCCACTCTAACCAACTGAGCTAACCAGCCGGCATCTCTTTGTAATTCTATCTCAATCTCTTCCATCTGCATAGTCTAGGTTCTGTATTTCTTTCTCCTCCTCTCCCACCTTGACCTGGTTCTTTGCCTCTATTCCATGCAGCATACGGTAAGGCTGCCTGCTACCAAGCAGTCAAATAAATTGTTACTTCTTCAAACACTCTCCTTTTCAGAGCATAAAATACTGTCTTAGCCAAATTTGCCTTTGCTTCACTCATCATGCAGCCTTCTGGGTCACTTGCCATATATTTTTTCCTTAATGTCTCATTTTCTTCCACAGCATTGAGGTCTCATGAATTTTTCTAATTTTTTTTTTGTTGTAGATGAATTGTTTCATGATTAAATATATGCATGTATCCAACCTGCTCATATTCCATGTGTCATTTCTTATTGTATTCCAAACATAAGTAGATAGTCTACTCTGGGGTCTGGTATCAAAGATATAGAAGTTGCCTCCTTCTTGGGATTCATTTTATATTGGATTCTGCCCTCAGTAGCAGTACTAATAGTTAACACTGCACCACAGGAATTTGGAAGACACTTGGAATATTGCTTTATGCTTTTTTTTTTTTTAAATCCTACCTCATTCCAAAAAGGATTCAAAGCGTTGAACTTGTAGTTAGACTGCTCCCTCACCCCAGGGACAAAACTAAAGTAACTATAACTTTGTTGTTTCTGTACAGAAGTTTTTATTTACCATTCAAAAAAAGGAACCTTGGGAAGCACCAGGGTATTGGTTAAAGACAGAATTCTGCTTAGAGCTGCTGTTGCAGAGTCATTAAAGGGTACCATTTTGATATTTTGGAGCATATTTTTTTTTAATCCTAACTCCCACATCCAGTTCTATTATCTAAACCAACTTAGAACCTTCTGTACTTGGGTGTTTCACCACTTGTAAGTGAAGCATGAGAAATAAGCATGTGGGAAAACTGATGAACTGTGTTCTGAGGGAAGTATAGATGTTCTGAGTAAAGTGTAATGGAAAGTGATCTCCCAGCTCGATGTTAAGAAATGGGAGTTTTGAGATAATCTGAATGTTGGTTGACTATTGAAGGCCAAGACGATTTGAAATCCTACTGTTTACAGTGAAAGATCAGCATAGTAGCAGAAATTACTGGGTCATGCATACCAATTATTGGATCATGATACCATTGGATCATTTCCCTTTTCTACTTGTACGATGCCTATAACTAGTTCCTGTGACGGCAGGTCTGTTCTGACCAGATAATAACCAGAAGTATAATACACTCATTTTAGAAACTATTAATAAAGATCATATCCATATATGCATTTACAGACAAGCATATTGTCCTGGTAAATTCTTTTTTTTTTTTTTTAAAGATGACCGGTAAGGGGATCTTAACCCTTGGCTTGGTGTTGTCAGCACCACACTCAGCCAGTGAGTGAACCGGCCATCCCTATATAGGATCCGAACCCGTGGCCTTGGTGTTACCAGCACCGCACTCTCCCGAGTGAGCCATGGGCCAGCCCTCTGGTAAATTCTAATACCTCAAATTTGATATAACAGCAGCAGAAGCTAGGACAGAACTTGGCCAACAGATTTTGTTCAATATAGAAGGAAATGTATTTGGCCAAGTCTTATCTCTTCTCTAATAAAATATTGACTTGTATAACTCCTTAATGTTTCTGAGCTCCTGCCACTTATGACCATTCAATTATGTTACTCCTTGAGAAATTCCTTTAGTGACCTGGAAGGACTCCTTTCACTCAGGAGTTAGGGAAAAAAAAAAAAAAAAAAAAACTTCTTGTAGCAACTTGTAATCGACTTAAACTAGGAAATACATGAAAAATTTTCTCATTTAGTGCAAAGAGAATTTCACATACAAAGAAATTATTTCCAATTTAAATGCAATTAGAAAGTAACTCTCTCCAATGTTTCTAAGACTGCCCCCAATGGCTCTCCTCCTTACATATGATTACATAAAGCCTCTATCGTTTGCACTATCTGTATTCACAAGTAGTTTGGATCTGTGGATGAATTTTACACCTAATAAAAAAAAAGAAAAGGGAATTATTTCCTAAACGCTGTTCTTTATTTCCAACTTACTTAGCGCTCTGTACTGCCAAAGTCAGAACACTGGAAAATCTGCAAATGAAACATAAAGATTAGAAGCATCCAGCATAGAGGGCCGGCCTGTGGCTCACTCGGGAGAATGCGGTGCTGATAACACCAAGGCCACGGGTTCGGATCCCATATAGGGATGGCCGGTTAGCTCACTTGGGAGAGCGTGGTGCCGGCAACACCAAGCCAAGGGTTAAGATCCCCTTACTGGTCATCTTTAGAGGAAAAAAAAAAAAAAAGAAGCATCCAGCATAGAAACATAACTTATGTTGGTTATGTGCTGATATCCTGAGGAGTGAGGTGTCTATAAAGGATTACCCTAGGAACTGGTTGCACCCACTTTCAGTCGAAGAATTAATTTTTGCTTCTTTGATTTGGTAAAATCGCTTCATTCACTCCTTCGGGTAAGTGAGAGGGTGGTGGCAGTTGCTTCTAGCCACATTCAGCATTTTTCCAGAATTTCTCATCATAACTGAGGGACATCCTGATTATATATAAGAAAGTATGTTGGGGCTGGACCTAAATAGTCGGACAGAATGCCGAAAAGGGCTTGAAATTCTACGCACTCCTTCCTCCTCCCCGCCTCCAAGGCACCAGCCCGATCCAAGATGGCTTCTCAGAAACAGGTAACTAAATGTTTTAGTTTAGAGCGCCCCCAATGGCGGGGGTCAAGAAAGGATGCGGAGAGGCTTTGCGGCTTGTGACTCTGAGCCGTCTGGGGCAAAATGCTGCCAGATTTTATTTTCAGTCAGGCATATCTGTGGTTGCCTATGCCCCCTTCTCAGCGTTTTAGGACCTCCCACCCTCAAGAGACTTCCTGGATGGCCCTCACACTACCCCGCTGGAAGAGGCCGGGCTTCGGCCCTGCCATTGGTGGTTGGGAGCATAGGTAGGCGGAGCCTAGCAAGAATGGACTACTAGCAAGCTAGATTGAGGCGAGGGCTGGCCATGCTCCGCCGGAAGGCGCCTTGTTCTTCGAGAGGGTGAGTTGAAACGCTGACTGGAAAAGAGGCACCAGGTCTTGTTCAGGTAGGCTTCCCGCTCACGTCCGGTCCTCAGTGCTGGTTCAGGAATGTTTGCAAAGCTAAGGCTCTTAGAATTGACTTCAGTAACTCATCCTCTTCCTCTCTCTTCCACCCCCTGCCGGTCCCCTAGTTATGAGGGATCAGGTGCTGGGTGATGCTCTGGACTGAACCATTCTCCTTTGTGAGAGACCGGGGGAGAGGACGGCTGCCGGGAGCGCGGTCCCAGTAGAGCCAAGCCGCGAGGGGGCTGCCTGGACCGCTGTGGAGTTTTTATGGCTTGTCATTGCATTACCGGGCGTGGTGTTGATTTGAAGCAGTACCTCGTTACGCGTTCTCCTTCCCCCTTCAGAGGAGGGAAAACTCTCTGTCTCCGTTTGGTTACTCCACACTTTGGACTCAGAAGTGGGAGGTTAAGGTTTTTTTCCTACTTTTATTGGTTTTTTATTTTTGCCTTTTATTTCCCTTGCATTTTAATAATAAAGGTGGGAGGAAAGGATGAGGTGAGCGTGTGCAAATAGTTATTCATCCTTAGGTGTAATATCTGTAGGTCTTCAGCAGGCTGTTGGAGAGTGTTTAGAGATGGTGGGAAGAGGAGCTCAAGTCTTGCGTCTTCTTGACAGGTCTTGCCGAGCTCACTGGTTTTCTGTTGTATTATGTAAACTATTCACTGGCAGAAAACCCCTCCCCCTTCCTCGGAACGAATGCAGTTTCTTTCTTTACCTGTTTCTAGTGTCGCAGGGAATTTCCCTGCACCAGCTCCCGCCGTTTAAGAGGCAGTACTGAAGTGATTAAGGTCCTCATAGAAGAGATTTATAGTGGACCAGTCTCTTCAGTGACTGAGCAAGTGAGCCAGAAGTCAGAGACTTAGAACCTGTGTTTTTCTTTTAAGTAGATATCGTGGAACGCCCCAAACACAAGCCAGGGGAGCTGTATAATCAGTGTCTGCTGCATCCTACCATCACACCAGCATCCACAGATCATTTAATCTCCAGATTGTTCTGAGTTGTCAACTCAGCCAGGGATTCTCTGACTGGGTTATCCTTAGCATCAGCTAAGGTCGCATCTGGTGTGGGGCACGTTAGATAATAGAAAGTGAGTTTGTGGTTTGGATAATGTTTTCTGTTAGTTAATTAGATATCTTCTGCTTAGGAATTTCTTTTCTAGTAGTCCCAATGGGCTTCAGGAAAAATTGTGGTCAACGTCATAGGGCCAGAAGTGGGAAACTTCTTATTTCAAGTATGTTGTAATTATTTCAATCATTAAAAGAAATAAAAATAGTTATGATAAGAAAAATAACATTTTCCATTTAAGAAGACTTGTTGCAAGACTGGCATGTCAGTGGGTCTGCAAGGCAAAGTGAAGGACATTGAGCGGAGAGGGTAGGCATGTGTGTCAAGAGACAGGCTTGGGGGAAGGTTTAAAACTGGAATAGCAAAGGAGTAATGGATTGGGATGAGGGATTTTATGGAATAATGTATGGGTACTTGCACAGTTCACACCTTCTCTGTGTTTGATCTATCCTGTGCATCTGGACTTTTGATTTTGTCAGTTCTCAAACTGCAAAAAAAAAAAGTCATTCTCAAATTGACAAAACCCATTTAGATATCGATAGAAAATGTATCTACTGACTTGCTTACAAATCGCCAGAAAACACAGATCTTCTATTTCCTGGGACAGCCTTCTTTATAGCACCCCTGGGTGATGGGATGGAGTAATTTTGGCATGGTGGTACCCACTACTGCAGGAAAAAATTGACATTTTATGTGAAGAGTCGAGTTTCTGACAGGTAACGGAGGATGGTGAAGGGGATTATTCTTTAAAAGAAACCATTATACACATCTTAGAGTGAGATTTTCCTAAGAAACACTATCATTTAAAATCAATTTGTGGGTGCCAAACCTATGCTTGCTTACTGAAAGAATGAGATTTCATTCTTTCTACAGTGGAAGGACTGTAACATTCAGATCAATGCTAAATACTTTAGAAATATTGTTTGTCCACAGCCCTGGAAGAGTTAAGCTGTATTCTGAGCTTATATTGGGCCTAATGCCTGGGAGAAGAACAGAAGGCAAACATTTCTCTGGAGCCTCCATCCCCACCCCTAATAGTCACTGTGCTTCTGGACTTGGATTTGAGCAAGTCACTGATCTGCAGGTCTTTATGTGACCTGCCCTTGCAGTACTGTGATTGCCCTGGTATTTGTTTTGCTTTTAGCCTTTGATTCATTGATAGACTGTCATGTTTTGTACCTTACTCGG